AATGTGCCACCGTGTGATTGAGGATCACCGTAGAGAGGTCTCAGAAACCGCGTTCAGCTATTAGGGTATATTTATGGCCTGGCTATATTGCAGCCTCTGGCAAGAGGCAGGGTGGGGCTTCAAATAACAAAAAATTTCATCCTAAAAAGGACGGCAAATGTGGTGCTAACTCGCAACTAAAGCGTTCACGCAAGACTTCCCTATTCGTCTTTCCAGTGAGTTTCGAAATTCGAACCCGCCCAGCCACGTGCATACACAGTAAATCAGAACAGAGTATTTATTTACTGTGAGTAAATACCACTAATCGAATATGTCCTGAAGGCGCGCAAAAATATCGCATACTCAGGTCTGGCCCAAATGTTGAGTTCATGTTTTTGGGCAGTCGTTCTCTTTCGGATACACTGAATGAGAATGGAGCGGACTTGACTTCGAAAAGTGCCTAAGAAATATTTCATTTTTGGATTCGTTGAACTTGGTGCTGTCGGAATTTCATTATGTGGTTCTGTGTTTTGTTTCTGTTGATATTTGGCGTTTGTGGTGAGTTGGGTAAGTATTTACTTTTATGATTTTATATGCGCAGATTTGTCCTTTGCTATACTTTTGCGCTCGCTGTATGACTATGTGTAGGCATACTGTACTGTGTGTGCTGTAAAACTCTGTTGTGATATTGCGTAATTATGTACTGTTTTGTATGAGTGCGTACGCGCGCGCGTGCTGTGCAACACTACGATTAGATACTACAATTGTATGTTGTCCTGAGCTGAATTGGGTTTACTACGATTAGTGTACTTTTTCTGTGGCGAAACGTTTTACTTCTATGCTTTAAATTTTTTTTTTTTTTTTTGGCCTTTCATTTAATAATGTTTTGGCACTTTCACTCAATGGTGACACAGGCACGCTGACACAAAAACAACAATGGTGACACAGGCACGCTGACACAAAAACAACATGGGGGATAAAATGCGGGGGAGGGAGGAGGGGGAGGGCTTTGTTTACACACCTTTTCTTATAGTCTATGCAGCGAATAATCATGTCTTCTTCTTCTTCTTCTTCTTCTTCTTCTTCTTCTTCTTCTTCTTCTTCTTCTTCTTCTTCTTCTTCCTCTTCTTCTTCTTCTTTCTTTCTTTCTTTCTTTCTTTTCTTTTCGCCTTTCTTTTCTTTCTTTTTCTTTCTTTCTTTCTTTCTTTCTTTCTTTCTTTCTTTTTTCTTTCTTTCTTTCTTTCTTTCTTTCTTTCTTTCTTTCTTTCTTTCTTTCTTTTTTCTTTCTTTCTTTCTTTCTTTTCTTTCTTTCTTTCTTTCTTTCTTTCTTTCTTTTTCTTTCTTTTTCTTTCTTTCTTTTCTTTCTTTCTTTCTTTCTTTCTTCTTTTTCTTTTCTTTCTTTCTTTCTTTCTTTCTTTCTTTCTTTCTTTCTTTCTTTCTTTCTTTCTTTCTTTCTTTCTTTCTTTCTTTCTTTCTTTCTTTCTTTCTTTCTTTCTTTCTTTCTTTCTTTCTTTCTTTCTTTCTTTCTTCTTCTTCTTCTTCTTCTTCTTCTTCTTCTTCTTCTTCTTCTTCTTCTTCTTCTTCTAACTCTTCTTCGTCTTCTTCTTCTTCTTTTTTTACTGCTGCTGCTTCTCCTCCTCTTCCTTTATCTTCGTAGTCGTCTTCGTCGGTAATTTCTGTTCGTGCCTAATCCACTGTGGGTCATAAATTGTCATGCCAGCTGGAGGTATCTCAGGATTGCCTAAAAGTTTGTTTTCAGTTCTTGTAGTCGTGTTCAGATGTGATTTACTTAACTTTATGTTTAATACTACAGCTACCTCACTGTCCGTAATTTGCATCTTTGTGTTTGTATAATGCAGTGAATACATTGACTGCCCTCTCAGGCATCACCCCAAAAACGTGGGCTTAACCCCCCCCCCCTCCCCCCCACTCAAAAAAACAACAACAAGTAAGCAAGGGCCGAGCCACCCCCCCCCCCTTTTTTCCCCCCCAGCTCCTATGATGAAAGTTTTATTTTTATATATTTGTCTATATCTTTCATAGTACTTCAGATAAATCTTTTTCTTCTTTTAATTCTTCTTCTTCTTCTTCTTCTTCTTCTTCTTCTTCTTCTTCTTCTTCTTCTTCTTCTTCTTCTTTCTCTTCTCCTTCTCTTCCACCATTTACCTAAGCGAGATGTTGGGGGGGGGGGGTGTAAGGATAGTTTGTGTGCTTTTTTCAATGCATTGTACAAGCTGGTGTTTATTTCTGTTAGGTGGCTCCTGATGATGCTGCTCCATCTCTTGCAGATTATATTTATAGGTTATTCAGAACATACTAATAATAACAATTAATATAATCATTATTAGGCACTTTAATAGAACGTGGGTCCTTTCAGCCTCCTCCACCGCCCCTAGATAAATTATAAGGAGTTTGAGCAAGGGGTTGCTGAACTCCGTTCCCCAACTTCCCAGTATGTGCTTTGTAACGGACCACTGGTCTAACAAAATGTGTGGCCAGGGCTGCCAATGAGATTTTTTTGAAAAACCCAGATTCGCTAAAGAAAAACCCAAGCAATACATAGACAATGAACAAAAAAACAAAATAAAAAAACCCAGATTGTTGAAATGTACAAAATTTATAGTTACGAAACGAAACATTTACCACTTTTATATAAAGACATATTTTAAAAAAAACCCAGATTTCCCTGAGGCCTCTAAGAAAAACCCAGATCTTGGGGGAAAAACCCAGCATTGGCAGCCCTGTGTGTGGCCAATAACGATTCCCTTTTTGACGACACTACACACTTAGGCACGCTATTCACTATAACCAAGCCGCACACAAATGTCGCACTGACCAGGCTGTCTGACCCAACACAGGAAATGTCCACTAGGCAAACATTAAAATGAGAGGCAGCGGGACGACGGAGACGATAGAAATATGAAACGTATACAAATATGAAACGTGAGCTTAGGAAACAGACAGCTCGGGTGTTATATGACTATATACTATGGGAATCGAAATTTGAAATGTGAGCAGCGGGAAAGAAAGGCCAGAGTTTTAAATAGGTAGATGCCAAATAAAGCTACATTTTCATTAACTATCATTATCATGTCCTGCCATTTATATATCACATAGGGCTTGCTGGCTTTTCCCCCATTCCGTTCCATCCTTGCAATAATTTCGATATAGATAGAATCAGTTTAAGCACCTATGGCTTTCCGGATAACGCTTGTCTTTGGGTTTCTCTTTGATGTCGCTGTTTTTAATATCCATTTGTTTCCTAGTTAAATGACTGTTTCGTTATTTCTTATCTTGGACTTGCAAGTGAGTGAACAACACAGAGGTACAAATAAATCATCCCAGTCTGAGGAAAATAGCGATGTGAGGAGTGACCAGTGACCAGGACATCTTGTCGACGTTCAACACTCAAAGGAAAGGCGAGGCCGAAATACAGTCAGATTGTTACTGGAACCATCGGAACTTGAACTCTGCGCTTGCTGCTGAAGATGGGGGAGGATTGCTTAAGGGAATGAGAAATAATACTGTCGGAACACCTTGCATCAAATTCATTGAGAAACAGAGGAGCTGATGGTTTGATCTACTTGACAGAATACAGCCACATCTACCGACACAGGTTTTAAATCTAAAAAAGATCCGATGTGAAAACAAGAGGCATCATCAAGGAGAAAATGGATTGATGAATTAGGAATATTCAACAATGACACAAAATGACTGTATTCAGTGGTACCCACCAACACTGTTGGATCGTAAACGGTTCCTCCCCCATGATGCTTAATGGCAAAAGTGAAAAAAATAGACGACGATGATGATGGTGAACTTGGTCATACGCCAATTTTATATATGTATATTCCGGGTACTGGTTCCAGGTTTGTGTGTGTGGATGGGTGAATAACAGGCCCCCTGCCATCTAACAAGCATGTTGTAAACAGCCACTAATTAGGGGTGTGCAGAAATAAATCGAAAGGTGCAGATATCGCAGCCAGCTGTAAACCACAACGTGCGAACATGCGATGCTTTGTTTTTAGGTGTGGAAGGAAAAAAAATATATTTGAAAATTAAAAACTGATTAACTGAGGTTTAGAAAGAGTGATATTAGAAGACATAGTTCAATAAAGAAAGGTTAACCCTAAACCAGCAAGAAGGTGGGCAAAGGATACTAAAGACAAATTGGATTTATAAATATACTAGACAGGAGAATTACCATTAAAACTAGAACTAAGCTTAAAACCTTTAGCTCTAATATCAAATCGGTACTGCTGTATGGAGGGGAAACATTGAGAGCAACTTTTAAACTACTACTAATGTACTACAAACAAACTGGTGACTGTGCAGGATAGAGAGAATTAAATAGTATGATAACAAGGTTTAATGTAGAGTTTTTATCGTGAGCTAACAAAATTCCAGTTAATCAAGAGATGATGAAAAGTGGATGGCATTGGAAGGGGCAGACGTTGAGAAAACACAGAAACCACGAAAGTAGAAAGTCTTCACACTGGAACCCACATGGGTGTGGACAATAAAAGGGCAGATAAAAAATACAGGGAGCTAGTGATTGAAGTTAGAAAGTAGGGGAAGGAGATGGAGTGAGCTGCATGTGAAAGCAACGTCAGAGCACTTGACTTGTGTTGGTTGAGGGTATATGCTCCATTGTGCGATGAAGATAAGCAGAAGAAGAAGAAGATGATGATGAAGAAGTAGTAGTAGTAGAAGAAGAAGAAGAAGAAGAAGAAGAAGAAGAAGGAGGAGGAGGATGAAGAGTTAGAGGACACTGGGTGGGGGGGGGGGGGGAGCAGAAGAAGAAAAATTGACAAGGGACTGGATCTTTCCGACTGGATCTACCAAAAGCGATGCTCTGTAAATTCAAAATACCTGCTACATAATGATAATAATGGCTGACAGTATCAAGAATGGGTTGATGATGATGATGATGATGCGCTGAAGGTAATCACCAGGTTACACATACTGAATTATTATTTTTTAGAAAACATAATTGGTATCTCAGGGTGGGTTGGCACACAATGATGGTGATAAGAAATTATAACTGTCAACATTATCATGGTTGCCTTTCAAAATAAAGCTAACCTTTTGTGAGCCACTCGGTGTGGTTCCTGACATTTGCAGGACGCAGGATATGAAACAGAATTGTGACATATGAGGGCTTGGAGAAAGTGTGTGGCATCGGTGCTTAAACGTTTGGCTTTTGCAAATTGAGTTTGATGCTGGAGTTGCAAAAAAGTGAAGTTTTTGTTGTTGCTGTCCATGTTGTACTCGTAGCAAGATTGGTATGAGGAAAAACTAAACGTATATGAAATGGGCTGTTTTGAGATTTTTAATTAGTTGCGGTTCATTTAGAGGACGTTGCAGAACTGGCTGTTGTGGTTCTAGGCAAATTTACGTCCAGTAGTTTGTCATTGCTTTCTGGACCATCAGCTCTCGGTACCATGGTCAAAACCATTGGAAGACAAACCATCCGCAGCAGGGATCGAACCCAGCACCCCGGCATTACAAAGCGCATTTGCAGCCACAGACGCCGACTGTTTTGAGATAGACTGCGTACAAAACCCCAAAAGACATCATGTAAGAACTGATGACGCTACAAGAACAACTGGAGCATTATCCGTTGGTAAACTAATTGAGAAAAAAAAAAAAAAAAGCCCATAAAGGGGTCGGCAGCTTCTGAAAATAAATCCACCCATACCGGCAGCGAGTGTGTGCAAAATGTGAATTAAAAAAAAAAAAACACACACGCAAGCACACACGCACTCGTATATACATATATATATATATATATATATATATATATATATATATATATATATATATATATATATATATATATATATAACATCACAGATAGAAAGATAACATCACAGAAACTCCACATATCATAGAAAGATAACATCAAAGAAACTCCACAATGATAGAAAGATAACATCACAGAAACTCCACAATGATAGAAAGATAACATCAAAGAAACTCCACAGTGATAGAAAGATAACATCACAGAAACTCCACATATCATAGAAAGATAACATCAAAGAAACTCCACAATGATAGAAAGATAACATCACAGAAACTCCACAATGATAGAAAGATAACATCACAGAAACTCCACAATGATAGAAAGATAACATCACAGAAACTCCATAAGAGCATGATATTTCTATGTTTGAGGTAGCCAGAAGAGAAAAAAGGAGAATTTTATACTTCCCTCGACACTCGAAATAGTATAAAAAAAATTTAAGAAGGAGAATAAGTAGAGGAGAACGATGAATTCAGCAGTTACAGCGTAGTAACTAGTCTGTTCACCCAGTGGCGACCTGTTCAAATCCACATCAAGGCTGATTGAAAAAAAAAAATGACAGCATCAGAGAATCCAACAACTGCCTTCTCACCCAAAGCATCTCGGTCTACTTAATAACTGATTTCAGAATCAACATCATGGAGTCATAGCATAACAGGCACACCCATAGATGCTCCATCTTCCTGGGCAAAGTCACAAGGTATAGATGCTGACTGTTCCAGTAGTGCACTGGTTGTTCACACGCTGTATACTAACTCTCGAATGTCACCTCTTGTTCTGATTCACACTTAATTCCAGATTCACGCAAACTTACCCACATTGCTACGTCTAACAATGTATCACCCTTAAACATTTGTTCATAATGGTCTTCAGAAAGTCAGCCTTAATTCCTGCCGCTGCTTTTAAAAAAAAATAGCCAAAACAAATTCTTGTTCACTGCCTCACACTCTTGCATATACTGATCAATATATCCACGTTAGCATTCTCATTAAAGAAAAAAAAATTCCATCATGATAGGGATTCGAACCAAAGCCAACCAGTTTGGTAGTCAAGGTGCTAGCCTCATACCTATCCCATACATTTTCTAAAACGGTTGTTTTCGTTCTTTATCTTTATAGAACAAGGGAAAACCCCCAGTGCTCCCAGAAGAGTCACGGCCAAAGCGATGTCCCCTCATGCCATCCAGGTCATCTGGCGCGACCCAGACCTAAACGGAAAAGACGGAGAGAAGGATTCCCGACACTATATCGTCAAATACAAAGAAGTGAATGACCTGGTCAATGGCAGCGATTTTGTGAATACCATCAGATCTCGCCAACTGAAGGTAAAAATTAACAAACTGACGCCCAAGACGACCTATGACATTTGGGTGAAGACGGTCAAGAACAAGAAGGCCAGCTCTTGGACTAAGGCCAACCAAGTAACAACAGACGATCCAGCAGAAGGTAAGTAAAAGTGAAGGACCTTTTCCCATGCCTTTAGGCG